GGAGGGCAGAGTTCGGAGCCCCGAGCTGTTACGCTTGGGAATCCCTTCCCCTGCGCCGGGGGGTCACTCCGGGGGCACGAACTGCAGCCCTGTTCGCGCCTACGAGGTTGGGGAGTCGTCTTCTCTTACGGATACTAATCCCCCCCCGCCCCCGTTCTCCGGCGTGGCTGAGTGGCGAGCGGGCTGTGCGAGCGGGGAACTTTTTTCCGTGTAGGTTTAGCAAGTGCACGGTATAGAGCCGTGTCGCAGAAGTTCAGAGTTGCTTTCTAGTGCCTTTTATTTTAGTCCCCCCTTATTTCCAGCTACTAATGTAATAACACTAAGTAGCGATTAATTATTTCTGCTTAGCTTGTATGCATACTTAAATCTTACAGAGGAATATTGATTGTGTTTAGGCAGGATATTAGTTGGTTTTGACTGTTGTCTGACAAGTTAGTATTTCCCTTTAAAGGAATCATAGTGATTCAGAAATGCAGAGTCTTCTATTGCTCTGAATGTGGAGTTTAAAGTAGTATCCTCAGAGCTGAAAGCAAGAGTGGTTTTAAAAGTTTTCTCTTTTAGCTGACTGATTTCTCTGTGCTTTGATGTAGAGAGAAGGGAGTAAAAGAAGATGAAGAATTGACTTGTTATTTGAAGTCTTTGCATCACCTTATCGCGCAAACTTGCACGTGATAAAGTTCAGATGTCCATCTGCAGATCTGGGAAATGGCTCCTGGGGTCATGGCTAGTGTGGCCACATTCTAAAAGCCAGTGGGGTTATAAAAATATTTAGAAAATAAATTATAGTGAGCCGCGCCATGTGGATGTGTGTACCAGAAAATACATTTATTCCTTACTTTTGGCTAGCTGTAAAATCACATGTGAAAAATACTCTTAGAGGCACCTCTTTAATGCCTGGATCCTGGAATTCACTTAACACACTCAGTTAATGTTTCTATTGAAATGCTGAAGGTGAAATGTAGAAAAAAGTAGACTAACCTTTTTTTTTTTTTTGAAGTTGGTTTCCACTTTCTGAGACTGAAACAGCATGCCATTCTTTGCCAGTCTGGTACGTAGTTCAATAGCGTGCTCATCACTGCAGTTGTCTTGCAAGATAAACTTTATTCTCTTTCAAATGCTGAAGTTCTGATCAAGGACTGAATATAGGTCTTTATATTGGATAGGCAGATATGGCCATATAAATGCGTAACTCCTATTTATTTGTGTATTCTGAGAACTCAAGGGTGAAAACCTAAAAAAATAATTTTTGCAAGGGGTCTTTATGAATAAAATGATGTCATGCGTTCTCATGTCTTTTTTTCAAGTAGCTGGGACAGATTAGAGTCTCTGTTTAGCACGAAACTAAATTTTAAAAAATGGCAATGTATAATAGGCTTCTTAACACTGTTGTATTTGGTATTTCAGCCCCTACCAACTAAGCCAGCTCAGTATTAATGAGAGAACTCTGGAAACGATCTCCTTTTTCCAGGAAAAAGGATGAGAACACTGATGTTTGACTTCTGGTGCAAGCAGTAATACTCTTCAGATGCAAACTTCAGTAGGTTACAGCTGGTGTTCTGGAAATGGAAATCCGTTCATTAGCGGTAGTGGAAGAGTTAGGGGTTTTAGTGATGTGTGCCCTTGTGATGCGTTTTTCTTTTTGTAATGTAGTAACTTGCCTGTTGAGGTACTTCAGAAAAGGCATTGTTGAGCACCAAAGTCCAGTGGTTCCAGTAAGAGAGCAGAACCACTTGATGTGTTGAAGTTTCTGACCTTTAGATAGCTTCCAATATTCCAATTCCATTTCTTTAAATAAAATGGAAACTAATGACCAATGGAGAGTAAAAATGATTATGATTCTCATCCTTTGTTATCCTATTAAATTGTCTTTATCTCGACCCATGAGCTTTTTTTCCATTCTCCTCCTCAGAGAAGGGTGAGTGAGCCGCTGCATGGTGCTTAGTTACCCACTGGGGTTAAACCACAACATTAACAAATGATTGTGCTGTTGCACATGAGACTTTAAGTCGAAACATGCAAGACAACTACTTAGTCTGCATGTTAAGTAGGATGCTGGAAACCTAAATTCAAGCTTATCAGATGTTGAACTTGGAACTTGCAAGTTGTTTGCAATTGTACTATATGGTATTTAGCGAATGGTTGCTTTCAAATCTACCTTAATGAGAAGTTGCTGATGAGAATTCAGTGAGTAATGTGAGAAGTGTTTTGTAGAAGTGTCTTAAACTTTGATTACAGCATGAGTAACTTTTTAAACTCTGTGACTGTCTTAGCCTATCAAGTTTATCTCATTGTAATGAAATACATGCAGGTCGGAATTGCTTCTACACTGAAATGCTGTACATCTGAAATTAATAGGTGTTACTTGGTGTTTGGTATTTTTCAAAAGCGTGGTGAGAAAATTGTTCATGTCTTGTGGGATCTGTATTGTGAAGGCAGTGCAGGTGAGCTCAAGAGTAGCATCTTATAGCCAGCAGCACAGTGATAGGGTTGGTTTGTTGTGGCATGGTTTGTTTTTTTTTTTTTACTGTCAATTTTCTTCATCTTGCCCTTAAGAATAAAGTTATCAGTTTAGATTTTCTTTTAGGTTTAGTGTGTGTTTACAGTGAACTGCGTATTTACATCAGATGGTCCGTTGCATGCTGATTGTAAGCACGGTATTCTCTTGACTGCGTAGGGTACCTTCTGAAACTTCTTGTGCTTCATCTCAGTGTCCTGAACTAAATGCATAAAGAATTATGCGCATATTCGCTGTTACTACTGATCAAAATATGATCTTATCTCCAAGCACATATTTAAAATTAATTGTTGCAAACACTCAGCAGGTTACTACCCAGGAGAAACTGTATGTTAAGAATATCAACATCTTAATGAAAGACTGGACACGTTTCATGAGGAAAGTCATATGATTCAAGCGGCAAGAAACTACTCCAAACAGCGTGTTAGTCAAAAAGGACAAATAGAAAGGGGGGGGGGCGGGGAGGAAAATTGCTGGGGACAACTTCTTGGAGATTGTGTGCACAGGCTCATACTGTCAGCAGCTGTGCAGTGCAGGGGCTGAACGATTGAAACAAGGAGAGTCTGAGCCTTAGAGGAACTAGGGTGCTACCTTCTAGAAATTTTATTTCAATTTCCTGGGTCAGGGAAGCAGGGATAATTGTCATCATTAATGTTTAATTTGTCTCTGCTACTGCAGTTTTACAAAGAAATCAGTCTTTTATTTTGTTGTTTTTATTATTCAGCTTGTGTAGTGTAGCTTTAAGCATTGCAGGACATTTTAAAATCAGTCTCTGGTTGTAATCGAGTCAGGAGAAGAGAAATTGAGGTTTGTCATGAAAGGTGATCCTACAGAACAGTAAGCGTAACTTGTCTCTTTTTAGCCATGTAAAAAATCGTCTCTCTGGCTTAATTAGCAGTATGACTGCATTCAGACTTTGTACTTCTGGTGTTCTGTGTTGATTGCTTCTTTGCATTTAAAAATATCATTGTTTCCTGGTTTGATTAGTGTTGATTTTTCTTACTATTTTCATTCATTAGCTTATCTGTTCCTGTTCCTCTTTAGAGCACACACAAGCTAAGAGCTTCAACTGGCTTGGACTTGTATGTCAGCAGCATGGTTTATTATGTTCCATTATTGGGGATTCCTTGTTGCTGGTGATGGGTGAGCCTGAAAAAACACAGCTTGACTTGCACATCGCAGGGTGAGTTTTCTGAGAACATTTTGTGAAATACTTATCTTTAAAGTGGTTGGGGTTTCGTTTGTTTGTTTGTTTTTAGGAACTTGGTTGTATTTTAGATCTGACCATCTGGGTTTATTTCTCAAAATATATACTTATTCAATATCTTCTGTAGAATCTAGAGAGCTGTCAGGTTTCGTACAGTTTGGAGTGAACTGGTGTAATCCTAAATGATAGATCAGGTTGCTCAGGGCCTTGATTTTAATGGAGAGGTTGATCCTGCTTGAGCAGGGCGTTGGACTACGTGACATCCCTTCCAACCTAAATTACTGTAGGATAAACCATTCCATAAGAAGTTTTATGTGAAAAAAAAAAAGGAAACAAACGATAAACTTTTCCCTGTTTTGGGGTTGGTTTTTTTCATGCATAATACCTCAGCTTGGTGATAAGAGATGTGTTGCAAGTATGAGAATTACAATACTATTGAACTAGCATCTTCTGTTATGTTCCTGCAGCTCCTCTTTAGCCCACTGTCCTGAAGACAAGAGGTTCTGGCTGATCAGGAGTTTCTGTTAGCAATTCAAGTTGACTGGAGAATGGAAGGTGTTGAGTTTAAGGAAGAATGGCAAGATGAAGATTTTCCAAGGTTTTAAATTTTTTTTTTTTAAAGTAATTAAAATTAAATGCATAATATCCAGAATAAGCTACCTCTTTATCTTCCTGGTGAACTAACACTCATTGATAATCTTGATTTCCACTAATAGTAGTCTTGAAAAGGTTTTGTGGCATGTTTGTTTATGGTCTGAAAAGAGATCACTTCATGTGTAAGTTAAGTAATACAAGAATGTCGCTGTTGAAGTTTCCAGTGTTACTAAAGCGAAAATTTGTACGTTTGGCTTTGTTTCCTGTGGTAATCTTTTGCAACTACATTGCATATTATTACCAGTGTCTGAAAGGCCCAGGTATTTCACCAAGCAACGTTTCTGAGCAGAATTTTTAACAGTTAAGACTGCAAGTGGTGCTTGGGCCTCCAAAGAAACTAAACCAGCTGACTTCAGAGACATTCTATAATAACATGACTAAACTACTTCTCTAAAGTATTTAATGTCAAATTTTCTCAAGTGAGAATACGACAAGTTTTCTTACAGATTGCACACACTAGTAGCAACCAGTATTTTGGCATCTGTTACATCAACAAATGGTCGCTTGAATGCTGCGAAGGAATTTTCTGCTACTTTTGTGCTTTGTTTACTGAAAGCTTGAACTTAGGCTACAAGTAAACTTAGTTCAGTACTATCCCACAGTTGTTTTTTTAGCAATGTGTAGGTCTAAATATTTGGCATTTAGCTGGCTATTTAAAAAAGAAAAAAAAAAGTTTTCTAAGTTTTGTAACAATAGTTTCTACTTTATCTACCAGGCCCCTGCCAGAGGATGATCCTGTTGCATCAGATGTATTGACTGCAGCTGGAACAGACAGTGAAGCTGGTAAGAACATTCCACTCCAGTCAAGTTGACTGCATCCTACTTAGATGGCTGTTTTAAACCTCTGTTTTGATTTAGCCTGTTCTTTGGGTCAGACTTGAGAAACTGCATTCTGAATGACATTTTTCTATATGAAGGGTGTTATAAACATCTTGTGTAGAAAGAAAAGGGGGTTGGAATAAAATATGAGACTCTTCATCTTCCCTGTGCATAGAGCTATCCAGGTAATACAAAAATTGCACTCACTTCCTGACCTGTCTTAAAATCTTCGTTCATTATTTGGCTTCTGTGCATCAGTTGGAGCCTACCGTAGTTTTGCTCCAAATTTCAGACTTTTGTGGCCTCTTAAAAGCATTACCTGTCCGAATGTTCAGAGGAGAAATAATACAGAAGTTTGGGGGTTTTTAGCATTTTTATTGTCTGTCTGCCTTAGTTGTGGCTTTTCCAGTACTGGATTAGTCATTTTATTTTATTCTCTGCTTTCAGCTGCTGTCTAAATCATACGAGTATTTGCCTTGTGTCTCAAAGCATGCTGTATATTCACCTAATAGTTTCGTTAATTTTCTATCCTCACTGTTGTCTGTCAGCCTTCTTTTTTTTTTGCAGCTTGTATATTATTTTTTATTTCATCAAAGATGGTTATGTTACCAATACCTACCAAAAACAAGGGCTAGGGACATGGATCTATTGCATTATTTGCAAAATTTAGTATAACATCTAGAACCACTCGTTGTAGCCTTTGCTATAGCTAGCGTGGGTAGTAGTTAGTTAGGTGGTGGCAGCACTTTGGGGTTTTCTTCTGTAGGGAGTATGGTGGTCTACCACTGTGATCATAGTGTGTATGCAGTTGGGTAAGCTTAAGATCTTGAGAACTTGGACCTCAAAGTGCTGTTCTTTTCACCCTGTGTTTAATTCTTATTCTAAAGATCCATCATTTAAATTATAGGCATTAACTTACAATGCATTCTGAGAAAGCGCTCTGCTCTTCTGTCTTGTTAATATGCTTATCGAAGCTTGCTTTAGCTTTGAAAATAAACAATTTGCTTTTTTGAATACAGAGGTTAATGGAACCAAAGTGAGGAAGAAACTAATGGCTCCAGATATTAGCTTAACTTTGGATTACAGTGAGGAATCTGTTTTGTCTGATGACTTGGATGAGAGTGGAGAGATTGATTTGGACGATTTAGATACTCCTTCAGAAAATAGCAATGAGTTTGAATGGGAAGGTAGGTATTTTATTACTTTTGTCTGATGCCATAGAATATTTCTGTTTTCCTATGTGCAGGTCAACAGTTTTTCAGGTTGGAAGTAACTATGACAATATAATTGGAGTAAAAATACAAAGGGAATGATTAGATTAGAAATTGGAAATAGGCGCAATGAATTTTTAAAGAACAAATCAGACCTCAACTCATTATTAAACAGGCAATATAACAATAACTAACTCCAAATAAACCTAGGTGAATGTCATTAAACACCTGTAAGTCTCAAAGTTACAGAAAATCCTCTCCGTTGGTTTTAAGAACCAACCTGGGGGCAGGAGAAAAATACCAAAGGTATTTTACATATATTATACATCAGTTTTAAATGGAGGCAAACCATATAAAGGGATATAGATTATAGATTAGCTAGTCAGAAATCAATGAATTGCCTTTGTATTTAAGGAGGACTGAATGATTTTTTTTTTTAAAATACCGAGTAACACCCAATCTCATATCTTACTGTGGTGAGAATGGCAAAAAGTCAGTAGCCTTAGAGTTTGCATTGACTGAAGTGGTAGAAGAGCCTCTATTTTTTGTCAAGGAATTCTGAAATTTCTTGATAGGAAGTTAACTTAGCTATAGCCACAATAGTAATGATCTTAATTTTAAAAAATGAATAGATGCTTCATCTTATTCTTGTAGGCAAAATCTGGAGATTCTAACAAATTTTATTTGAGGTAAAAAAGTTCTGTGTGGGAGTTAAAACCCAAGTTTTAAACTTGCAGTTTAATTATGTTTTAAGGCCCTTTTATGTAAGCCAAGAACTGTTGTGTTAGTTGAACAGATACTGGAGTCTTTAATTTCTGTAAACTTCATGCCTTAAGAATGTCTCTAATAAGTAAACATGTAAACTAATTTTTTTATTATTTTTTTATTCTGGAAATAAAATCGTTTTATCTCCTGAGTAAACAGGAAGCTTTCTTTTCACTATGAAACACTACCATTCCAATATAGCTTATAAATGGTGAAAGAAACACTCTTTAGAATAAGTTGGGGTTTTTTAAATAGCTAAAGCCGTATTTCAGGTGAAATTTTCATAACAGAGGCTGTGGGTTTACCTGTGTAAAAGGATTTTCATCTCTGTAATGAAGAAGTATTTAGTGTTAGTTTTGCAGTGATGCAAAGGAAATGTTCCAGATGTTTGTGCCTTGTTTTTAAAAGTGGCTGAAAAGGGTTTCTGTCTTTTCTTCCTTTAATGCTGCTGCCTTCATTTTCCTGGAAGGATAGTTTCAATTAACAGCTTTGTCTTGGGAACAGACAACTAACTTGCAGTAGGTTTTTCTCGCTTTGGGTAAGGTCTATGCAACAAAGTCAAAGAATCATAATTTAATTGGCGCAAATTGTTTTACAGATTGTTGTCAGCATAAATTTCATATATATTGATTGCACACACATGAATTAGATTTAATTTCTAATAGATTTGCCTGCATGTCTGCTTGCAAGGTACTGTCAATGTTTTAAATCATGCTTTTATGTAAATCTGTGATCAAGCAACTTGTGTAATTATCATTGGAGTTAACCACTTTGTGTGTTTTGATGAGATTCATCAAGGTCTGTGTTTTCAAAGCCTATGATTAAATAGGCTTCCTACATGAATGGAAATTTGTCATGTACTTTAACAGAGAAAGTTACAGTCAATGGATAACTGCAAAAAGATTATTTTGATAAAATATATATGACACCCATGAGATCCTATTTTGTAATGACAGAAGAAACTAAGTCAGCTGATACGTCTGACTGGCTAAAGAATATTAAAATAGATTGAACAGCAAAGTGGTTAACCTGTGTTGTAATTCATTGTCACCGTACATAGTATTCATAATGGATCTTGAACATGTTTTAACTTTGGCAGATGATCTTCCAAAACCAAAAACTACTGATGTAATTAGGAAAGGATCACTTACTGAATACGCTGCGGCAGAGGAGAAAGATGATGGTCGACGCTGGCGAATGTTTAGGATTGGAGAACAGGACCATAGAGTGGACATGAAGGCGATTGAGCCATATAAAAAAGTTATCAGTCATGGTGGTAAGGATTAGTCATGTGCTGAGGGGAACTGTTGAGGAACTACTTCTTTAAGTTGAGTTGGGGTGGCACAGGAAGAGCTTTGGGCATGAAGACTTATGTGATAATTCATTTATTGCAGTATTAAGGCATATGGTTGATGTAATATTTTTTCCCCTAAAAATTTTGGAACTTTTTCTAAATGTTCCTAAATGTGCACGTGTTCAGATGAAGCTACTAACATGCACGTATGTAATAAGATGTACTTATCTGTTCTATAGTGTCAGTGCTACCAGTATAATTTTTTTTTAAGAGTATTGAAAGCATTAACTGTAGATCTACTAAGGCATAAATCAATTTAGTAACTGTTCCCAACAGTCTGTGGAGTTTAGGCTGGAAAAAAAGTTGACTGTATAAAATGTTATTAAATATACTGAGAGACTATACTGAGATGTTGATTGTAGGTACAGCATTTGATTTGCATCAACTTCAGGTGTTTCTGTAGAAGTAGACAAACTTGAAAAAGAAATCTTGAGGTTTTCTGTAACTACTGAATCTGTCTATATAGAATAGATGTTTGTAAATCTCTCTAAGGTAAATAATGAAAAAGCCTACAGAATGTGCTTGATATTGTGTAAATTTAGTCAATGTATAGTCACCTTTGTCACTACTGCTGCTTTTTTTCTTTGTTTTCAGGTTATTATGGTGATGGATTAAATGCCATTGTTGTGTTTGCTGTTTGCTTTATGCCTGAAAGCAGCCAGCCTAACTACAGATACCTAATGGACAATCTATTTAAGTAAGTAATCATCTACCTCTGAATCCTGTCTTAATTTCACATTGTGAAACTTAGCATTTTAATGTAAGGGTAATTACTTCTCACTCTTTTTTTTTTTAATGAAACTTAATATTTCATGTGAGGGAAAGGTAACAAATAGGAGAGCAACTACGTCTGCTCCCAGGGGAAGGAAAAAAATTATTAGATGTTGCTCAATGCTGTTGCCAACTCTGTATTTTTAAAATATATTTGAGCACTACTAGGAATTACTTTAATATCCACAGATCCTCACTTGAAAAGTTTTTTTTTCCTTTGCTTCTCTCTGCAGGTATGTAATTGGCACTTTAGAGCTGTTAGTAGCAGAGAACTATATGATAGTTTACCTGAATGGTGCAACAACACGGAGAAAAATGCCAAGTTTAGGCTGGCTTAGGAAATGTTACCAGCAAATTGATAGAAGGTAAGAAGCTCTGAAGTGTTTTCTTACAATATTCATGTGCTCAGTGATACATATATTTAGGAAAAAAATGCTGTTTAATGTGGTGTCTGGTACCTACTGGTTAAGAGTTAATTAAAAGAGAATTGCTTGGTGTATTGGAAACCTCTTCCTAAGCTAAACAATACGGAACAATGCTACAGGCATGCCTGGGTGTGGTGGGGTTTTTTGTTTGGTTTTGGGGTTTTTGGTGAAAATAGTAGTGTTAGAATACTGAATACTGGTACCACATGGAATATCCTTTAAATTTCATGTATTAATATGATAAGGTAATAAGGGGGGGTCCTTCATGAACCACTTCATCCATTAGTTGCTTAAAAAGATTCAAAGAAACTTCTCTTTGGTATGTTATTTCCTTGTCATTGTTGTCAAACTGATACTGTATCTTAACTTTCGACTATACAGTTGTGAGGTATTTTTTTTTTCTTCTGGCAGATGGTAGTTTCTAATAATAGAATGTCAGAATACTAGACTTATGTGACAGTTGTGCTTTCAAAAACATTTTATATATTAAAAACCCCTTGTTGTCATACTGCCTTTTTGTTCTTCTAATTATGTCTACTGTTTGAATTCTTCAGGTTAAGGAAAAATCTGAAGTCATTAATCATAGTTCATCCTTCTTGGTTCATCAGAACACTTCTGGCCATCACAAAACCTTTTATTAGGTAATACTCTAGAAGCTGTTTGGTTTTGGTTTTGGTTTTTAAATAATCCTAAAACAGTTTTTGAAGTTTAAACAGTTGTTAATGTTGACCTATTGAAAAATTTTTAAGTTGTAACTGTACCCTGCATTTGTTCTTCCACAGCTCAAAATTCAGCCAAAAAATTAGGTATGTCTTTACCCTGGCAGAACTAGCTGAGCTCATCCCCATGGAATACGTTGGCATCCCAGAATGCATAAAACAGTACGTTTTATTATTCAAACATGTTCTACATTGATCGTGTTTTAGAACTGGTACATACTGTATTCAATGATTGGTTTGAATGTAATACTTTGTATTTAATAAAACTATCTCTAGGAGGAGAATCCGTGTTTGACCACATTGCTAACTATAGTTTGGTATGTAGTAGCATGGATAGTCAAAATGTAAATGTATAGGGACTTTCACAAATCAGAGAATCATAGAATGGTTTGGGTTGGAAGGGACCTTAAAGATCATCTAGTTCCAACCCCCCTGCCGTAGGCAGGGACACCCTCCACTAGACCACGTTGCCCACAGCTTCATTCAGCCTGGTCTTAAACACTTCCAGGGATGGGGCCTCCACAACCTCTCTGGGCAACCTGTTCCAGTACCTCACCACCCTCACAGTAAAGAATTTCTTTCTAACATCTAATCTGAATCGACCCTCCTTCAGCTTGAACCCATTACCCCTTGTCCTGTCCCTACACTCCCTGACAAACAGTCCCTCACCATCTTTCCTGTCGCCCCCCTTCAGATACTGGTAAGCTGCAATTAGATCTCCCCAGAGCCCCCTTTTCTCCAGGCTGAACAACCCCAACTTCCTCAGCCTGTCCTCATAGGAGAGGTGCTCCAGCCCTCCGATCAGCTTCGTGGCCCTCCTCTGGTGCCTTGTGTAAATAGTACCTTATGTAGTTACCTTGTGTGTGAATTAGTCTTCTAGAGACAAGGCCTCCTTCCAGTTCTTCAACCCCTTAGTATACTAAACTGGCTTGTGAGTGAGAAATTCTGGACATCTTGATACTGAAGTTAGTTATAGTATCTTCAGTGTTCATGCTAAAATGTGGAACGTGTTAAGTGGTGAAATACCACTTGGATTGGGATTTCATTTAACAGAGCAGCTGTGGTGGAAAAATGCTAAATCCCTACCCATAACAGTTCTAAAACTACTTTGGTGAAGAGGTGAAGGAAGCATCGCTGTCCTTGGCTTTCTCCTCTTCCTTCTCTCCAGATATAAATGTCCATTTTAACATCAGCATGACTCTCCTCTCAAATATGGTGATGATACTTCTGTCAATGGCATTTGTGGGTGCAGCAATAGAGCAGAAACCATAAACTGGGGTCTTAAAAAAGCCAGATGAAAATACTAAAAATTCTGATGATAAATTGATCAGCCTATTAGAGGGTATAATGTACAAAACCTATAGAGTACACATCACAATAGGTTCTTGCAAACTGGTAATTCCGTAAGGAAAGATGACACAGTCTTGCACTGTGGACAGAAGGGCACATCCACATTGGACAAATCCACAAATCCCTCCCCACCCCTGCAAATGTCTGGTTATTGCAGTAAACATTAATCTGGTATCAGTTGCACAATGTAACTTTTTATAAAACAGAGAAAACGCAGTTTTCTTGGGGTGGGGAGGAAGGCAGGACAATGCTGAAGCAGCCTTGTGCTACTTTAGAACTTTTTTTTTACTAGGGCTTTTGAAGTATGTTAGGAATATTCAGACTGTCACTCCAAGTCAACAACAGAACAACTTTATCTGTTCTGCAAAGGCTGAACTTGGTTGACTTACGGAGTTAATGCTCAGACTTCTGTGGAGGATTATATCTGGCTTCAAATTGTTACGAATATAGACTTTAAATTTTACTGATGGATGTTAATACTGTACAGGTAGTTGCATTGAATTTACATGTTACGTTGTAGTAACTAAATGCTGCTGCTTTACTGCATATAAATGTTGGAGATACCAAGTTTTAAAACTGATATAATTAAGGAAAAATATGTCGTATGTTTCTACAAACTGTATTGACACTAATACCAGTTTGCAGCTTCTGTTGAATTTGGCCTTCATATATATTATATTTACTGAAATCAAACTTTTCCTCACCAAGGTATGAAGAAGAAAAGTTTAGAAAGAAACAGAAAAGGTATATTCATATTTTGATTAGGGTTGCATCTAGATAAGACGATTTGCACTGCAACTAACTCCCAGTTGATTGGCTTGCATAAAGGAATAAGCATTTGTAAATATAAACAGGCACTAGTGACTAAGTTTTTATGCATTAAAGTAATTTACTGCCTGCAAGTACAGTATATCATCCAAAAGAAGTCACCCTGGATGTTAAACAGATATTTGTGAATAGTCTCTCTTACACGAGATGCTCACTTCTAAGGAGATACATGGATTCTCAACTGAATCTTCAAGAGGCAAAAGTAGTGCTTCTGTATGAATTGATTAAATTGAGTTTCACCATTTTTAACAAGAAGTGATGTCGGAAGGAAGAGGTGTTTTTAGGTACTAAGCTGTAGCTATGCCTCAGCAGAGATGCAACTCTGGAATTTCTAACAGTGAATCTTGTATTCTGTATTTTTGGTATTAACTACCTTTTTAGTTATTAACTTGCACAGATGCAATCTAAATTAGTATTTTTAGTGCTGTTTGTATTTGCAGTGCCTATGTTCCTTGCTAATAAACATTGGATTTTAATTTTGTTAATTTTCAGTCTCCTGCTAACTATTCAAGCTATTCCAGCAGCTGATGAAATTTTTTGAATGGATATGGTTTTTTTTCATTCTCTAACAAATTTACTGAAAGGTTTTGCTACTAACTTTGCCTTTTTTAATTATCTTCCTGTGTGTGCATAACTACTGAGGGAGGTTTATTGTCTAAATTGAGTGATGGACATAGAGAGGAATGCTGAGAGATTAAAATAACAGGAATTTAATTTTTTTCTGAAAGCTAGCAGGTAAAGCTGGTGACAAGTATTGAACATTCTCTAGGAATTATTCTGATTAAGTGATAATCTTGCAGTGTGTAACCTGAAATACTAAGCCTGTCAAATTTAAGAAATACTGAACAACAGTTCTGCTTGATCTCCCCCCGCTCAATGTGCATAATTTGGCCCAATTCTATTGCAAGGCCTATTGTATTCAGGATGCAAACCTGAGACATTCAAACAGTAATGTAAAAACTTTTTAAAATTTCCTGTACAACAAGCACTTTCTAGTGTCCCTGTCAATATCATAATTTATACTGCCATCACTTTTGTAAAAAGTATGTTCCTAAGTGAAACTTACGTATAAGGAGAGATCACAGGCACTCTTTGATACTGAGACTTTAATGGGGTTGAAAGCAGTGGTAGGCATTACTTATTATAATGAGAGAAAGGAGATGTGGTGCAGCTTAGTTACTATATTTGTTGAGGACAGCAGTGGGAGTTCCTTGGCTATGTGTATGAGTCACTTTGGAAGCTAGAATATGATATACTTCTATGGATTTATATTGTCAGCTGTATGTTTATGCATAGCTTGTTTGCATTAGCTTACCATATTTTCTTACGCTTTCTGTGATTAGTCCTGTCAAAACATGCTTTCCTAAGATACTGCGGTGAGGGCAGGGATGAGTTGCAGCTGCATACTGTGCAGGCAAACAGGTATTCGACTAGGACTGTTGCTTCTTGACAACATTGCTTCAAACTTACTGAATCCTGATGTACTACGTTCAGTTCTTACAGCTGCAAAAAAACCCCAAAGTTGCCTCCCCTTTTTATGGGTTTGTGGCCTAGAAGAGCTGTCATTGTTTTTATCATTTTGAAAAACTGGTTGGTTATAGTTTGAGAGACGGGACAGGTAGGTTAGACAACTAGGTGATTAGAAGACAAACTTGGCCTTAGCTTCTCTTACTTTGGAACTGCTGATGGTTTTAAAATTAATTTACCTCCATGCACAACTTATTTTCCAGAAGATACAGTTAAGACTGTAGCTTCCTCTTACTGTAAAGAGGAAAAGTACATCTTCTGCAGGACTGTCAGCCATCCACTGGTTTCTGCAAAGCAACATTTTGTGTGCTAGTCCCAAGGCAGATAACAAAAAAAACCCCCAACAACTAAACCAAAACAACCAAAACCCCACACCAAACCCACAAAAACAAACCCCTAGTTTTAGCAGCAGGGTGGTGAATTTTTCTGGGGTGATTACAAGAGTCTTAGAACTTAACAGAAAAAGTAATCCAGTTAAGGAGCCACTTAACTTTTGTCGATTCAACTAGTGCTGTTACCTTCTTTGCTTAATTACTATAACATTAAAGATAATTCTGTGCTTATTCTGCAGTGTATGAATTAATCAAAGTAGTAATGCTTGACGGTATTGTCATGTTACCTGTAAACTTGTATTCCTGCTTGCATTCGTTGATAAATGCACAGAACCTGCTTTTTTCTCTTCTGTAGTCAAACTTCACTTGCGCTTTTCAAATGCTTCTTTGTGAATGCTATAGTTATTTAAATGATTTCTTAACAACTTTAATTAATTTCTAGGGGGAGGTAGGAAAATAGATTTTTCTTTTTAAATTGTTGTGACTGCATTCAATAAAAATTGTAATTTAATATTTATTTACTAAACTTTTTCCCATGTAAAAGCTTTGTGTTTTTCTGTTAAGATTGATAGTTTTTGCTTAATATATGAGCTATCAAACTAAACTACTTCTTAACATAGTTTTCATTTTACTGCTTCCTTTGCTAAGCAGAGTTGACCAAGAGCTGAATGGAAAACAAGAGCAGAAAAGTGAACAGTAAGTTTGGAGTCCAAACAAGACTGAAGAATATGCAGATGGAACGATGCTATTTTTTTGCTCCATTTACAATGCATTCTCTGTGTGTATATATATATTATGTAACCTGTTGCAAAAGGTGCTTAATTTCTTTGGACTAGCACACAGTGGACTGCTTACAGCTGTATTGGTTTATCTTTAATTCAATAGCTATGTTTATGTAATCCTTTTATATTGCTAAATGTCAAAGAACCCTGTTTTCAGAGGATGTTCTTGCAATTGTTTATCTAAATGATGCATGTTCTTCAGTAAAGTATTTATATACCTAAATGTTAAAGGAAAGAGATAATATATATTTTTATGACTGAGCAATATATTGTGTATACCTGCTGAAGGAATTCATTTGCAGGTAGACAAGGCCATAAGTTACTTGTTGTTATTGTATAAATCTGTTTTGCTGTAAATGGTCAAGTGCATTTCTTCATTGTCACAGAAACCTTAATTTGTTTGGCTATTAACAGTCACATAATGTAGTCTTTCACAAGTGTGGAGATCTGTATTTTTGTTCACAGACCTAATACAAGCAGTACTCATTTACCTCACTGGAGTGAGCTTGAGCTTTGGTATCTTGTAGTCCATTTTTGAGAATGCAGACTTCAGTTACCAGTAGAAAATGAGTATATTAATGAGTTACCAGTAGGAAATGGGTTCATTGCGGTTCTTCCTGGATGAGTATCGGTTCTCACCAGTAGGAACTCTGGTCATACTCAGTACAGCTTAGGAGTTACATAGATATTGTAGCCATAATATTAATTGTTTGCAGAGGTATGGGGAGCCTTATGCTGCCTGTGTCATCCTTGTATGTGAAACATCCATTTCTAAAGCTCTCAGTTTGGCACATGATACCAGTACTAATTTCACTTAACAAAAAAAAAAAATTAAAGGTTGGGATTTTTTTCTCCCCACAATTGTAGTAAACTTGTGTCTGTTAACAGGTGTTCTTGCACACGTAACTAGTGTTTATAGGTTTATCAGGACAACAATAATGCACTGATAGATATGTTGTAAAAGTTTGTAATATCTTTTGATAATCATTGCATGTACCTGTCCTTACAGGGAAATAGCAAATAAATCCATTCGGGAGTTGAGCAATATAATATTATAGCAAATATATTAAATCATCACTTTTGGGTTTTGTTGTGCTCACCATTTTGTATTGAAGCCAAAAATATCAGTTCTCAATTATATTAAAAGTTAGTGTTATACAGTTCTCTTAAAAAAAAAAAAAAAAAGTGGCATTCAACCAGATTACTACCTGACACTGATAAATATAAATAGCAGTCAAGAGATAGTTCCATGGTCAAGACTTATTAACAATTAATCTGCTGTCTCTAATGAGACATGTATAGACTCTGAGAGCATATTCATGTCAGATGAGGACAAATTGCCCATGTCTCTAGGAGTTTAAGCCTGCAATTCAGAGACTTTAATCCTGAGATGTAGGTACTTTTGTTACAGTAGCTTCTGTATCACATTTTCAGAGATTAAGATGCAGGATGTTTTCTTTCAACAGGCAATGCTAATTTCAAGTTGCCTTGCATCCATTTTGTCAGGTTTGGATCTTCCTCTGACAGCAGAACACAAATGTGAACAGTTTCTTTGGGGCTGTCTTATCTCCTGCTTCAATTCTGATGTTGCCCCAGATTAATGTAAAGTTCCAGTCAATAAATTGGACACTTATGGCCTGTTTACTTCTGATATTTTCACAGTGTGGTGTGTATGAACATGCAAACCTGTAAACCTTCCTGATTTTTACTGATTCTGTGTGGGTCCTAAGCTAGATACTAAGCATTCTCATCTCATTTCAAATTTTTCCTAATTAAAAAAGTCATCTTTTTCAGTAAAATTGCATTCTTTGTGGAAGGATTGTATTTCTATTTGTCCTGTTGCTTCCTATGTGTGTAGGGCAGTATAGAGTAGCCAATCCTCTTT